TTGCTAGGGAGAGGGGGGGCAGCATAGCCTTGGCCCCCACCCCGGAGGAGGATTGAGACTTGGGTGGGCGGAAGCAGGCTTCTGGCAGAAGATGAGAAACTTGCTGTTGGACACACATTTCTGGTATGGCAGGACACCTGTCCTCGGGTCAGAACACAGAACAAGAGAGAGAGTGAAAGGGAGGAGCCTAGGTGTCTGGCTGGACCTGAGAGTGATCTGAGAAATCGGAGCAAGCAGGTGTGGTCTTGAGAGCAGGAGGTTGGAGGAAGAGGAGCAGAGGGTCTTAGAGGGGGTGTGATTGATAGGCTCTGAAAAATCACATTTGGAGGCTGGTTGGCAGTCACTTTGGAGAAGTCTCATGTTTCCCATTCTGAGTCTTCTTTGGCTCTCTGGAATCCATCTCCACAGATAGGCTAAAGGAGGGTTGCTGGAAATCTCATGTGGAAACTCTCAGCTCTCAGAGCTGGGATGGCTTCTCACTTCAGATGCGATCACAGAGGGACCTCCATCCCTCATAAAGACCCCTAGAACTAGGCAACCAGCACTGCTGCAACCAGAATGCTGTCTGGGGGGCCTGGGGAGCCCAGCAATTTGCTCCCCTTGCTTTTCCTATTTCTGATTGCAGCCTTGAGGAGCCTGAAGTCAGTTGTTGATAAGAACATCATTCTACCCTGCCTTGTGCCAGCTTCCTCCAGCTGAAGACATCGATCATCCCTTGGGGATCCAGCCCCCCTCCATTTGGTGCATGCAGGTGATGGCGGGGACTGTCCCATGTGTGATCCAACCCAGGGTACACTGGTCATCACTCCACAGATGAGTCATTTGCTACCAGCCTTTCCTTGCTCCATCTGACCCCTTCAACTTTAATGTAAATGTCACTCCTGGGATCCTATCATTGTGGGATTTTTTTTCGGTAGAAATACCATGTTGGAAAGGACATTTGTCCTCTACTGTTTAAATTGCTTTCTACGGGTTAGGGAGAACTAGCCATTGATTTTCTTCTAGAGAGCATAGCAAGCCCTGTGAAGATTTTGGCTAGTTAACTTTTGGAGAAGTGCTTCTTGAATTTATCAGGGAGGCTGAAGTCTCTTTTCTCCTCTTATATCCTGAAAAAGGCTTTAAATTTTGGTTCCGAATCTCTGCCAACACCTGGTCTGTTTGAAAGGACTTCCCTGGAGATGATGGTAGAGGGGCTGTTGAATGTCATGTTTTTGCAGCTTCGATCTTTAATACAGTTGTCCCAGTCCACAGAAAGTCTTTCCTGTTTACGTAAGAGAAGTATCATTCACACGAAGATTACATTTAGAAATATACATTTTCCCCCAGCATGCTTGTTACTAATAACATTGCATGTTATGAAAGTGGAAAGTATTTAAGATGAAATTAATTTTCGCCCAGCGTGCCACTTTGTTTGACATTCTCGATCCAGTTGGTGTGGAGCACCAGTGTTGGCCTACCTCACTTTGCATTTTTAGCAAGTTCAATTTATTGTTCTTCTTGTCTGGATTGACGCTGTTGGAAGTGAGTTACTAGCATATTAGGACAAGTCCAATTTGGAATCCTACTGTGTAGATTTCTTTTGTATTGGTTTCCAGAAGTTTATTTTGAAAATGATCATCTCCAGTAGATGAGTTTTGCTATACAATTTTTCATTTTCATTTTTTGGGGGGCCTGATTTTATGGGTTCTCTTTTCAGCAGAACTTCTGGGGTTGGGATAATTAACATTTTTTTTTTTTGGCAGTCTGTCAGAAGGTCCTGGGAAAACAGATTGCTGCTCTCACCTTGGACACCTCTCCGTCAAATGTTCTTGTCAGTTCTCATCGATGTGGTGTGGCTGCTTGCTGTTTCATGGGTGGGGGCTGGAGCATCCAGGACACCCTGAGCAACCTGGGTCATCTTGTCTGGGCCAAGCTGCCTGTGAAAGTTCTGTTCCACTGAGCTACATCGCCATAGCAGAAGGAAGCATTTAAGCTGGTGTGACACAAATACTTTGTAAAAAGTGGTTCTTTATTTTTGATCAATCTTGTGATCCTTGTTACCAGCTTTGATTACATCAGCTTATGTGCCATTCAGTTTTATAGCATTTTAATGGGCTTTCATATCCCCTCCCCAATTCATTTCCAGCCGAATGACTATTACAATTTGATTGCAGTTTGGTTTTGCAACTGCCAGGACGCTTTCTGAGCATATGATGCCTTCCTTGTGAATGTGAAGATGTTCAGAGGTGAAAAAGGAGCAAAGGGTTTTTTGTTTTGTTGTTTGTTTTTTTTGGATGCTTGTCAACAAGTAATTTCCAAATGATGCCTCAGAAGCTTCCAGGGTTGTGTTTTCCCAAGTAAGGTATTTGTTTTAAGCTCTTTGTTAGAGCTTAACCAATGACTGACCTGTTGGCTTTTTAAAGAGTATAGAAAAGTACATTTAAAACTTTGCTTTCTAACAAGTGGTGATGAGAATGTGGGGTAGTTGGGACCCTTGTACACTGTTGGTAGAAATGTAAAATGGTATAGCTACCATGAAAAACAGTATGGTGGTTCCTCAAAAAATGAAAAGTAGAACTACCATAGGACTCAGCAATTCTACTTCTACTCCTGGGTATATACGTAAAAGAATTGAAAGCAGTTTTTTTTTTTTTTTAAGACAGAGTCTCACCCGTTGCCCAGGCTGGAGTGCAGTGGCACAATCCCAACTCACTGCAACCTCTTCTGAGTTCAAGAGATTCTCCTGCCTCAGCCTCTTGAGTAGCTGGGATTATAGGCATCCGCCACCACGCCCGGCTAATTTTTGTATTTTTAGTAGAGACGGAGCGTCGCCATATTGGCCAGGCTGGTCTCGAACTCCTGACCTCAGGCGGCGATCCACCTGCCTGGCATCCCAAAGTGCTGGGATTACAGGCATGAGCCACCGTGCCCAGCCTGAAATCAGGGTTTTGAAAAGATATTTGTACACTCATGTTCATAGAAGCAATATTCATAATAGCTAAAATGTGGAAGCACCCAGATGTCTATTGACAGATGAATGGATAAGCAAAATGTGGTATATGCATACAGTGGAATATTATTCTGACTTAAAAAGGAAGGATATTCTGACGTATGCTGTAACATAAGTTAACCTTGAGGATATTATGCTAAGTCAAAGAAGCCAGTCACAAAAAGACAAATACTGTATGACTCCACTTTTCTGAAGTACTTGGAGTAGTCAGAATCATAGAGATAGAAAGCAGAACGGTAGTTTCTGGAGGTGGGGGCAGAGGGGGAATGGGGAGTTATTGTTTAATGGGTATAGAGTTTCAGTTTTGCAAGATGAAAAGAGTTCTGGGAATGGCTGGTAGTGGTGGTCGTACAACAGTATGCGTGTGCTTAGTGCCACTGAACTGTACACTAAAACTGTACACTTAAGATGCGAAATTTTACGTTATGTGTATTTTACCACAATTAAGAAATTGAGGCCAGGCGTGGTGGCTCACGCCTGTAATCCCAGCACTTTGGGAGGCTGAGACGGGTGGATTTCCTGAGGTCAGGTGTTTGAGACCAGCCTGGCCAACATAGTGAAACCCTGTCTCTACTAAAAATACAAAAAGTTAGCCGGGCGTGGTGGCGGGCGCCTATAATCCCAGCTACTCAGGAGGCTGAGGCAGGAAAATCGCTTGAACCCAGGAGGCGGAGATTGCAGTGAGCTGAGATCGCACCATTGCACTCCAGCCTAGGCGACGGAGTGAGACTGCATCTCAAAACAACCAACCAACCAACCAAAAAAACCCCCCCCAAAAACCAAAAAAAAAAAAAAAAATCCCCAATTTTGCTTTCTTTATTCCTCTAAATACTTTGGTTAAGAAATATTATTTTTAGAGACTTTCCCTCTAATTTTGACTTTCTGAAATCCACATAGAACCAAAACAAAAAGACATCATAATGTTGCTTCAGAATAAACTCTTGATTCTTCCTTTTGCCCCTGTGACCTCTGTGGCTCCTTCCCTTCCTATTTCTTCTTCCCATACTCCACTCCTTTGCGCCCACTGCCCCCTGATCCCAGTAAGAGGCTTGAATTTACCTGGCATAGGTTATGTTATTACATTTGTATTTCTTTGAGACATTTATTAGCCTGTGCCTATGTTTTATTTGGTAAGTATTTGATCTCATTGATTATTTTAGTGCTTTGCATTTGATCAATTATATCAATGCTCTATTTTTGGTCTTTGAAAAGGACACTATCTTAAAATTAGTAGCATCACCACATGTCCAAAAATACCAAAGAGTCAGGAACGTAAAACCTACTGTGCTTAATCAGATTCTCAGTCCAGCAAACCAGAAAGGTCTTTCTATTTGTTTTTTAAACTCCTTGAGTTGAATTATTTTGAATTCAAAATTGTTGAATTCTGTTTGCTTTCTATCAGAAAGTTATTTTTCTTTAAGTAATACGGTTTTAAAAGATTGGTGCCTGTTCCTCTACACCTCCTTCTTCCTGCAATATCCCTACTTTTATAGAATGTTTTTTTCTGTCCTAGTTTTTGTTTATATGGAGTGTGTCTCTTCTGTTGTAATGGAAAACTGGGTATCTTTGCTGGTGATTTGGGTTCACCTAGAGTGCCTTTGCTGGTGACTTCTGAGAATAAAATGTAGCTAATATGAGTGAGGAGGTTCTAGAAGTGTGATGGCCTCTAGATTCCATGCAGAGGTTGTTCCAGAGCTACCTCCCTTCTGGAGTGGGACCTCATGCTTTCTAGAACATGGACAGCTCTCTCTTACTGGTGACTCATCCTTGGAAGCCCATGCTCTTTATTAGAGGAGTTTCTAAGTTGCCTGGTGGATTTGGGATAGAAAATAAAATCTGGTCAAGACCTGACACTGAGTTGCATTCTGCTCGTTGGCAAGGCTCTTGGTGCTCTTTGTGTTGGTCTTCATAATTGGGAGGTCTTCAGTCTTCCCAGGGAGGTGTGTTTGTTTCCCTCTGGGTGTGTTTCAGTCTTTCCTGGCCTCACCCTTTCACTCTCTGACTCTGGCAGGCTCGGGGACCAGTTCTACAAGGAAGCCATTGAGCACTGCCGGAGTTACAACTCACGGCTGTGTGCAGAGCGCAGCGTGCGTCTTCCCTTCCTGGACTCACAGACTGGGGTGGCCCAGAACAACTGCTACATCTGGATGGAGAAGAGGCACCGAGGCCCAGGTGAGCCACGCCACTCCTGGGACATGCGCATGTGCAGGCTCCCAGTCTGGAGGGAGGAGGACCAGAGCTTGTCTGGGAATCCAGGCAGCCTGGGTGGGATCGGAGTGGGGCAAGCTGCACATGGGCCTCTGAGATCCCTTAAAGCAACTCAGTTACTTTATGGCTCCTGGCAGGTGTTCTGAGGAGTGTGACAATGATGATGTGGGGCATTGAAGCCATGTGGCAGGGGTGGGGTGGAGTGGGGAGTGAAAGAGCTAAAGGTGTTTCTCCCAAAGAAGGCAAGACTGAGGACATGACAGCAATCTTCATCTTTTACCTTTGCGTGTTGGTTACAAGCCAGAAATCTGCCATTCGATCTTGGTGTGAGGCTTAGCTTTGTCACCAAACTTCTGTCCTTCAGGTTCCTCATCTGTAAAATGTGAATAATAATAGTACTTACCACATAAGATTTTGTCTGAATTAAATGAGACTATTCATAAAAACTCATAGTATGAGTTTAGCACATAGTAAGTATGTACTTCCGAAATGCTGGGTGCTATTATTATTATTGTTATTATTTTTTTGAGATGGAGTCTCGCTGTGTTGCCCAGGCTGGAGTGCTGTGGTGCGATCTCGGCTCACTGCAACCTCCGCCTCCCGGGTTCAAGTGATTCTTATGCCTCAGCCTCCTGAGTAGCTGGGATTACAGGCCCATGCCCTCACACCTGGCTAATTTTTGTATTTTTAGTAGAGATGGGGTTTCACCATGTTGGTCAGGCTGGTCTTAAACTTCTGATCTCACGTTCTGCCCACCTGGGCCTCCCAAAGTGCTGGGATTACAGGTGTGAGCCACCGCACCTGGCCTATTATTATTGATGTTACTGTTATTACTACAGCTGCAATGACACTAGTCTTCTAGGCTGCAAAGAACAGAATAAAGTCCTTTTTATTAGGGAGACAGCTATAGGAATGTGATTTTTCTGGCTCTGTCTGGATATATTTTTAAAAATGTTTCATTTGGAAAAATTTCACTTTCATATAAAATTGAAGACAATAGTAAAACACATCCCCATGTAGCCCTGCTTCAACAATGGTCAACTCATGGTCAGTCGCGTTTCATCTGTACGCACTCCTTACTTTCCTCCCTGACCTCAGATTATTTTGAAGCAAATATGTAAAAGCACGTGATTTCATCTGTAAATATTTTGTTATGTATCTCTAAATGGTAAAGAACTTAAACAAACAAACTCACAATCACTATCAGAGCTCAAAGAATTAGCAATAAGACTTTAATATCATCAAATATTTGGCCAACATTCATTTTTTCCCCCTGTAGTTTAAATCAGGATCCAAATGGGAGCCCTACATTGCAATTGACTGATGTGTCTTTTAACATCTCTGGGTTTCTCTCTGTCTCTGTCTCTGACTCTCTCTTTCCTCCTTGCATGTTACTTGTTGAAGACACTGGGTTGCTTACACTGTAGGATTTCCCAGAAGGATTTGGTGCTTGCGTTCCCATGGTGTTATTCCTGTGAATTGGTAGTTAGGTCTAGAGATTTATTCAGGTTCCATTTTTTTTTGGTAAGAACAACTGCTAAGTGGTAGTGTGTACTTTCATCAGGAGGCTCATACAGTCTGGTTACCTCCTTTACTGACGTTAGCAGCCCTTCATGATAATTGCCTAGATTCTTTATCCCATTAAGGGTTGCAAAAAGTTAATATTCAATCCAGGACTATCATTATATCTTCATTTGTTAGCTCTACAACTTCTATAAAGAAAAACATTCCCTCATTAAAATTTTAGTTATTGTGAGATACAGTTCACATATGAAAGGCAGGATAAATGACTTTTTTCCCCTCTATTTACCAGTTTTCAAAATAATGAGTTGGTTCCCTAGCATTCTCCAAAGACAATCAATATAATAATAATTATTTTTTTGAGTACCACCAGGAACTCACAGATTTAAACATATTTGATGTATTTTAATCCAGTGTAGTTATTATTCTTATGAGGCTTATATTGCCTCATCTTTGGCCAGTCTGGTCAGTGCTGGTGTTTTTTTTTTTTTTCTTTTTGAGATGGAGTCTTGCTTGGTAGGCAGGCTGCGGTGGCATGATCTTGGCTCACAGCAACCTCTGCCTTCCGGGTTCAAACAATTCTCCTGCCTCAGCCTCCTGAGTAGCTGGGATTACAGGCGCGCACCACCATGCCCAGCTAATTTTTGTATTTTTAGTAGAGATGGGGTTTCACCATGTTGGCCAGGATGGTCTCGATCTCTTGACCTTGTGATCCACCTGCCTCGGCCTCCCAAAGTGCTGGGATTACAGGCATGAACCACTGTGCCCGGCCCAGTGCTGGTATTTTGAAACAACCCCAGTAGTTTCCGATAGCCTTCTTGCCACCCGAATAGTAGGATGAAATATTTCAGGCTCATCCTTTACACTTCTTGCTCTCCAGGCCTGAAATCAGCTACCTCTTGAAGAAATCCTGGCTCCTTTCTGTAGGAAATGTTACTTAGAGACCGCAGTCTAGTGCTGTGCTGTTCATTGCTCCTGGCTTGGTCATTGTTTCTAGGCCTTATCAGTGACTAGTACTAAGAAATATGATTTTTTTTTCTTTTTAAGAGAAAATACATTGTGAAATTGTGTTGATACATCCCATTCAATTCAGTTTTAAACAGTTTTTAAGTATCTTAATTCTGTATCTACTTTCTCTACCAAAAAAATCCTAGAAATGATATTGATGTAACTTATTTGCTTTATTTTACACACACACACACACAGACACACACACACACAGTATCAGAATAACAATATGACTATTAACAATAAGATTACTGAAAAAGGTTTAAGATATTTTCTTTTTTTTTGCAATTCTTTTTGTCCTTAGGGTATATTCCATTAAATATGTGCAGCCAAATTACTCTCCTTTAAGGTCACTTGAAATAGTTCCTCTGTGTGGTTGTGCCACTAACTCAATACACAGTTGGATTTATTTGTTTCATTTTGCTCTCACTTATCAGGGATTGCTTTTTGAGTGGGGAAGGGGATTCATATAATTTCTTCTTTATTAAATCAACTTTTCATCTTGAAATAATTAATAATTGTAATTGTGACTATATTTGCAATTTGCAGTTGCAAATATAATACAGAGAGATCTCCTATCTTCTTCACCTAATTTCCTCCAAGATAAATACATCTTACAATATCAAACCCAAAAAACTGACATTGTGTAGCTCTGTGCCATTTTATCACACATGTAGATTTGTGTAATCACCTCTACAATCAAGATACAAAACTATTCTATTACAACCCAACACTCTCATTACTTAAATCCTTTTACCCTCCTCAGTTTATAATATAGTTGTCTTAAATATTTCCTTTACATACATTGAAAACCATACCAGTGTTATAAATTTTGCTTCAACCATCAAACATAATTTAGAAAACATAAGAGAAGCATTTATTGTATTTACTCATATTTTTACTCCTTCATTGTTTTTCTTCCTTACTGACATTCCAAGATTCCTTCTTTTAGCATTTCCTTTCTGATGTAGTACTTTTTTAGGCCATTCTTTTAGAGTAAATCTGATGGTGATAACTTCTTAGTTTTCCTTCATTGGAGAATGTCTTGATTTTGCCATCATTCCTGGAGGATATTTTTGCTGGATATAAAATTCTGAGTTGACAGTCCTTTTATTTTAGCAGTTGAAAAAGGTTTTGCCACTTCTTTCTGATGGTTAGTGATGAGAAATCTGCTGTCATTTAAATTTAAAATTTTTTTTCCCTTATAAGTAAGGTGTCATTTCTCATTGTTTTCAAGTTTTTTCTTTGTTTTTAGTTTCAGAAATGTGATTTTGATGCGTTTTGGCATAGATTTCTTTCGGTTTATTCTGTTTGAGTTTACTCAGCTTCTTGAACCTGTGGGTCTCTGGTTTTTTTTGTGCCAAATTTGGGAATTTTTCAGCCATTATTTCTTTGAATACCTCTTCAGTTCCACCGTCTTTCCTCTCTCCTTCTTGGACTTCAACAACACAGATGTTAGATCTTTTGTTATAGTCCCAGAAGTCCCTGAGGTTGTGTTTATTTATTTTTAAAATTCTTCTCTCTGTTGCTTAGCTTGGGTGATTTCTGTAGTTTTCTCTTCAGGTTCACTGCTTCTTTATTCTGTCCTCTGCCTTCTGCTGTTAAGACAATCCATTGAGAGCTTTTTAATTTTTTGTTACAAAGTTTTTTGGTTTTCAAATTTCTATTTGATTCTTCATATTTTCTATTTCTTTGCTGAATGTGTTTTATGTGTTCAAAATTGCTTGTTGAAACACTTTTAATAATGGCTGTTTTAAGATCCTTGCCAGATAATTCTAACATTTTTGTTATTTTGTTGTTGGTATCTGTGTCTTTTCTTTTTTGAAATTTTCCTGGTTCTTCATAAGATAAGTGGCTTTGACTGAATCTTGGACATTTTGGTCGTTATGTTATGAGACTCTGGATATTATTTAAATCTTCTATATTAGCAGGTCTCCTTTCAAGCTATGCTAGTAGGGGAGGCAAGGCTCCCCTCATTACTATCAGATGGGTGTGGAAATCCAGCTTCTCTACTTGGCTTCTGTTGACAACCTAGTATGACATCCTCTTTAACAAGGTGAATAATACCTTTTTGTTGCTGGGTGGAGGTGGGAGTTCAGGCTCCCCACTAGGCCTCCACTGGTATTATCCTATTTGGGAGGAGGAGGGCCTCTACTCATACGACAAGTCTCCAGCTCTTTCCTTAGCCTTCTCTGACACCAACCCAGCAAAGCTATTGGGATGCCTGCTTATGTTGCTAGGCTGCTCCTTTCCTGGTTCTCTGGCTAGAGAGAGCAGGATTTTCTTGAGGCTTTTATTGGTCTTCATTTGTTGGTGTTTCTGGGTTATCAGCTTTTCCAGAATCCAGTCCAGGATATATGAGGCATAAAGGATACCCAAGATTGGGCCAGACACAATGGCTCATGCCTGTAATTCCAGCACTTTGGGAGGCCAAA